AACACAAACAGTGCTCAATACCGTATAGATAGAGCGTAATATAGTTTTTCGTTTTGCCTCAAAAAACCACAACAGTCTGTTTCATCCGTATAGGAACAGACTGTTGTGGTTTTTTGAGGTAAAACGAAAAACTATATATATATATATATATATATATATATATATATATATATATATATATATATATATATATATATATATATATATATATATATATATATATATATATATATATATATACAATTTAGATATAATCTATAGTAAAAATATTTAAATGTTTGCCTCCGCAAAAGCAGATTCGAAATATTATTCAAGAGGAGCATAAAAATTAACTAATAAATACTTAATAAAAACTAATAAAAATTTGTGAAACTTTTCTCATTCTTTACCCATAGCACCCTAGTTATCCCAAATATCAGTAGTATAAAGGTTTCGTTTTCCACTTCCATGTACGGTCATGTAGGACCTGATCTGTTGAGAGGTTTCTGTGAGATTGGGGGTATTATTAAGTATGCGTGACACGAACATAAAAAATGCAGTTTGGCCCTTTCTCCAGAAACCTCTAGCTTTCCACACATTCATTGAAACTTTGCAAAGTAAAATACGACAGTTCATAAAACATTAAAGACAAGCGCACTTTTAAATATGATCATTCACTCAAACTAAACTATTTAAATTTAGACCATGAGTAACTAAAATAACTTTGGTCCACTATTACAAAAATGTATCAGAAACATAAAACTAAACCAATATTATTATCATTTATACTGCATGCCTACTGGACAGCTCTATCACTTCTAAATTCTTCCAAGGGCTCAAGTGAGAGTCATCTTTTCTTAGTGGTCCAGTGTTATGACAGAAGAAAAGCGGTTTTCGCGAAAAAAGCCCGTAGTGTAACTGTGTAAGAGATTAAAGATGTACAAAATGTACGCATGCACGTTGGATTTTGTGACTTTTTTACAACTCCATGGTGAATAAAATCTTCTTTGGTGTATTTGAGTGGATTTTTTTCTAAATTTCTCACGATTTGCAAAATATTTCGTAACAAAGCCAAAGGCTTGAAAAACTTGACAGCCCGCAGGTGGGAAATTTCAAGCCGACGTTCGAGGGGCAATATATCTCGCACATATTTCAGAGGTGATAGGCACCCATAGTTCCCCATGCAATAATCACCATATTACAGCTTTTGCACTTTTATTCGTAACAAAACTAGTCGTGATATGTCTCATAATAAATTCTTATATTGGTATAATGATCATTCACTGCAGGAATTTTTTTTCAAAATCCTTATTATGAAAACAGTATGGGTCTTAGTTAAAAATAGTATGGAAATACAATTTTGATACAAATTGCAATTTCCATTACCATGTATGGATTTTAGTGCCCTGATGAAATTGCAAATTCCATGGTATGAATTTCACTATTTTTTTCCAGTGATTGTCATGGTGTTCTTAAACAAAAATGTGTTTCTTTACACAAAGTAAGTGCCACTTGGAAATTATGAAGGGATCAGCCCATTTTGAAGGCATTCACTGATTAGCAGTTTCAAAATTTCGAATGCTCAGAGAATGCTTATGAAGCGAAAATTTCAATTCCCTCACGACCGAAAAAAATGTTAAAATTGTAAGTACTGACTTCATTTAAAGATAAAATTCCATCGTTCGTCATGTATTCCAAAGTCGTAAGATTATTGAAGGAAATCATTGGTATTTTGTCGACAAAGGTTATAGTTTCACGAACAGTGTTAACATGCAAAATATCAAGTGATTTCGTTTGATAATCATGAAATTAAACACGATTTTAAAATAATAGTTATGACAGTAAATGCATCTTATTATTTTGCAAAAAGTTATATATTAAATCATCGTACTCTTTTCATTTTTGAGCACCACCGTTTAGTAGCATTTAATTGTGAATGTGATCGGGCTATAATCTAGTAACTTTCACAAGACACACCTATGTTATACGTTAGCAGACTGTATTTATGATGACCTGCATCACTTCTGGAAACTAGAGTGCCCTCAGAGACTACATACCTGTATCATGCATAAATTATATAATGGAGTGAACAGACATTCGGTTTTCTCTGCCTAGACTGGCTTATTTTGTCTTATGCTTCAAACTGACATACAAGATCTTATATTTTTAAAGCCGCAGTTCAGCCTTTTGAATGATGGTTTTTAAGGCGCATTACAAGCATTTTGATTGAAAAAACTTACTAGGAAAATCAATTAAGCATAATTCAAAATCAGTGAACTCAATGTTTTTAACATTAAAATGTTAAAAAAATGTTGAAACATTGAAATCACGGCTCTTGAATTATGCTTAATTGATTTTTCTCGTTAGTTTTTTTCAATTAAAAGGGTTGTAATGCACCTTAAAAACCATCATTCAAAAGGCTGAACTGTACCTTTTAAATTAACAAGGCATAATACGACATAATCTATTTTTAGAGCAGCTTAAAAAGCCTCTTGTGAAAAGTGTTACAGGTGCTGAAGCCTCCGCCCAGTTTAAATTCTTGTAAGGAATATTTCATTGACTACAATGTTCCCAGACTCTCTTCTTTAGGCGAGAGTCTCGGAACGAGGTTGTGCCTGGGTATATATTCTATTGTAACCAAATACCACTTGAGTATTCTTTTTCATCTCTGTCATGTAACGAGTTAACGAAGCCATTAAGCTCAAAACACTCACACAAATGGTCAAATCATCAATATCGTACAATGCGCAATTAACCTGCTTGTAGCGTGAATTTCAGTTCTAAGACCTTCTGAAGTGTCTTTGAAAAAAAGCACTTAGGAATGACCAGTATTTTACCCCCTGTAATTACGTATTGAGACGCCTCTTCAACTCATTGATGCGAACCAAGTGCCACTTTTTTGAAAGTCATTTCGTTCCTACCTAAAAATGTCCTAGCCCTCTCTGCTTTATAAGTGCTTCTTGTATTACATTGAGAGAATGAGAAAATGAAAATGTCCAAAGGGTGTGATTCATTGGAAAAAAATTCATATTATGGAATTTGTGATTCCATCACTAAGTCCATAGTATATCCATACTATTTCCATAGGGCGCTTTCCATTTAATGGCCTGACAGGTCAGACCCAAATTCTTTTCTCTGCATCAATGGAAAGATCTGGTCTATGTTTCTCAAATATCTAGCGAAAATGGACCTCATTCTAATGTTATCTAGATTTTCCGGTCAGATAGGTCCGAAGCCCAAATGTTTTGTGTTTCATTCAACATTCTGACCGGTCTGGCCCATTGAACTATAAATAAACTGGAAGGCTAACTGCTATGATAAAGGCCTATGATTTGATGAAGCCAAAATAGTTTTTCTGAGTTATGAGCAGAAATACTTGACCCCAAACGTCGGGCTATATATCAAATTGAAGCTATTGAAAATTGCTATTCGGTGTGGCAATTTCAAGACTTCAGCGAAAAGAAAAATATTTAAAAAATACAAAAACAACTGCAAAACGGCAAATTATCGGTAATTATGTTTGTAGTTTTTCAATATTTCCCTTTTAGCTAAAGTCTTGAAATTTCTACACCAAATAGCATTTTTCAATAGCTTCAATTTGATATATAGCCCAACGTTCAGTGTTGAGTATTTCTGCTCATAACTCAGAAAAACTAAAATGCACTGGCTTCAATTCCCCCCCCCCTGAGTTAGCCTTCCAGTTTATTTATAGTTCAATGGTCTGGCCGTGTTAATGGAAAGCGCCCCAAGTGAGGTTTTGAACAAATTTCCAGTGATTAATTTGTAACAAGATTTCGTTGGTGGGGATGCAACTACCTGAAAAATACAAAGCGAAATTCGACGTTTCGAGCGAAGGCGCTTCGTCGCTACCAACGAAGGATTGTTTCTAGATCGCTACCAGTCTCCGTTGACTTCATAGCTCAATGGTCTAGAGAGTAGGACTAGCTTTTAGCTAGTTTTTCTCATCTCCAAGGATGGTTATGAAATATTCATATACATGTACTTGGCTGATTATATACATTAATTGTGATGTAATATTTCAAAACCGACTATGAAGACTGGACTAGATTTCACGTCCGCGCAAATTGATCGAGTCCAAGGACTGAATTAATTTTGATTCAGTCCTAAGAGTGGATCAATATACTTCACCAGATATCCAGTATTATCATGTGAACAAAATAAAGCAATGTGGTTGGCTAATTTACTCATGAATTCTAATGAGTTTGAGATTTAATGCTTTCAGTAGTTTTCTCGGGGTACCGCGGTTTCCCCCCGTAGTCACACTGGAGCAAAAGACCTCTTACGTACTGGACATATTTCTATAATACTGGATCTCTAAGGAAAACCGTTTGGAACTGATAGAGTTATCCAGTATGGTTAAACGGTTCCTCCCACAGGAAATGCAGACAGGTTAGGTTAGGAAACATATGAAAGTATAGATTCGCGATCCATCAGCATTAAATTCACATCGTGATTAAATAAATGACATAATTACTATAAATGACACTCTTGGTTATATGCAGCGGCTAATTACACGTTTCTGAAGTGGGTACTTAGTGAACACGCAGTTATTTGAACAAGCAGTTCTATCTCTAGAACTAAAAGATAGATTCTTAGTTTCTTACTGGATCTCTTGAGAGAACAGTTTAGAACTGATAAGGCTATCCAGTATAAATAAAGTTAGTTCAGTTTAGGTTTCCTCCTGCAGTAACACTGAATCAATAAGAGATGATCCTTACTGAACCTCTAGGGAGAACATTTTAGAACTGATATAGCTATCCAGTATAAATAAAGTTAGTTTAGTTTAGGTTTCCTCCTGTAGTAACACTGGATCAATAAGGGATGACCCATAGTGAACCTCTAGAGAGAACAATTTAGAACTGGTAGAGCTATCCAGTATAAGTAAAGTTAAATGATGGAGTTAATCTCATATAAACTGAAAGTTAGTATATAAAAGAGAACTTAATATAAACTGTATCATTATTGTAACCTATATCATTAAGAATCTCTTTCAAACATAAGTGTGGTAAGAACATTTTATCCCATATATTCTTTAAGTATATTGACATTCATTTTTTCTTCGACTGAAAAAAGTTTTTTACCGAGCTTACAAAACCTCGTGCATTGTTAGCAATAGTCGTTTGTCGTTCTTGCTTAATGCGGTGAATTTGTAAAAATAAATTTGTGAAAATTTTTTGCACATTTCTGTCGTAAGCAGCCGACGATTCAATGAAGAGGCATCCGAACTCCTTCGCCGTCGCTCGGGCTTCATCTCGGCTTACTTCGCGTCCTCGTCGGAGCTCACGTTTGTTTCCGACAAGAATCGTCGGCAGTTCGTAATCAAACGGCGAGCCGAGTCGTTGGTATTCTTTGATAGTTCTCAAATAGTCTTTAGCCGTTTCGAAACTGTAGCGGTCTGTGATAGAGTAGACCACGATTATTCCTTCTGCCTTTCTAATGTAGCTAGTACAACTTTCGATCTAGAAAAAACACACGGGGACATTACTACATAGCTAACAATATAGGGCCATACAGTCACCATCCCGTGATCAGAATGTTCCACTGTTTTTTCATTGTTTTGAAAAATCTCACTGTTCTCCATGTCATCCAGTTATGATCCAGTGATCGAAATGTTCCATTGTTTTGAAAATCCCACTGTTCTTCATGTTATCCAGTCATGATCCAGTGATTAGATCTTTCATTTTCTTTTCATTGTTTTGAAATTCCACTGTTCTCTATGCCATCCAGTCATGATCCAGTGATCAGAATGTTCCATTGTCGTTTCATTGTTTTGAAAATCCCATTGTTCTCCATGCCATCGAGTCATGATCCCGTGATCAGAACGTTTCATTGTTTTTTTTTCCCATTATTTTGAAAATCTCACTGTTTTCTGGATAGTCATGATCCGGTGATCAGAATGTTACTGTTCTCAATACCATCTAGTTACCCATTGTTGCCATGCATTCATACTCATTGTATATATATACATACAGGTGTCCCCCAAAATGCAATACCTATGTTCCAGATTTTAGTGGTTTTAGATTGTTACATTTAGCTGTGTAACAATCTGGAACATAGCCAGTACAAATTATTTTGGGACAGCCTATATATTTCTTACCGAGCCAGCAGTATCCATGATGCGTAATATTCCCTTCACATTTCCCACTTCTTGTACTTTTTCGTAAGTCATTTCTAAAGCAACATTTATTTACCGTTACATACTGACGATACGTGTAATATAGAGAGTAATTAATAATTTTTTGTTGTTCCATGAGCATTTCGGTCAGCTTACCTAACGTTGGATCGTATTCATGCACAAATCTGCCGGTGATGTAGCGAACAACCAAGGCTAGAAAAAGAATAATACACGGGTTTGATTTACTGGATCAATACAAAGGGTGACCTCTGGGAAGAACAGTTTAGAAGTGATAGAGCTACCCAGTATAAATAAGTTAGTTTAGTTTAGGTTTCCTCCTGTAGTAACACTGGATCAATAAGAGATGATCCTTACTGGACCTCTAGGAAGAACAGTTTAGAACTGATAGAGCTATCCAGTATAAATAAAGTTAGTTTAGTTTAGGTTTCCTCCTGTAGTAACACTGGATCAATAAGAGATAACTCTTACTGGACCTCTAGAAAGAACAGTTTAGAACTGGTACAGAGCTATCCAGTATAAATAAAGTTACCTTATAGTTTCAATGATTTCCATTTCTTGAAAAACTGAATGTATTATTCATATGACTTTTAATCAAAATTAAACAATCATCCTATTTACCAAGACTTATTTGTCTTACGTTTAAGGTACGCACTGTTTTGACTGTACTGTATGGTGTTCAATTGAAATTATCTGTCATCAAAATACTGTCTTACAGTACAACTGACACAAACCCATTTGTGTTTTCTCTGTCAGACAAAGACTTTAGTTGCTTGAGCGCGAGGAGATTAAATTGTCATAATCTGTTAAAATTGATCTTTTTTATTGGTAGTATTTTGTCGGCTTGCTTATTAAAATGCTAATAACCTCCTTGGATCTTTGATGGCAAGGCTCAGTGCCATCGTTTCAAATATACCAGTATATGTGTTAGGAGAACATACTATACTATAGACATGCGCTTTCGCTTGCTTTTTTGTTTAACCCATTGAGCCGCAATGCGCCCCAGTGCGCCCTACTTATTTTTTTTGCTTGTCTAACGCCAGAGGATTGTACTCGTCAATGGGGAAGCTCTGCAGCCTAATGAGTTAACCAAAAAATCTGACAATGTCTCTATTTAACCCACTGAGCCGCAATGCGCCCCACTTATTTTTTACTTGTCTAAAGCCGATTTTCCGCTAGCGAATTTTTTCGCACGAAGCGACCTTTTTCCTTTATCGGCATCCACTTTGCCACATCTTGCTGATGTAATAAGTGCTACCGACAAAGGAAAAAGGTCTCTTCATGCGAAAAAATTCGCTAGTGGGAAAACCGGCTTAACGCTAGCCTGCGTGCAGGCCCAAACCTGCACGCAGGCTAGCTTAACGCCAGACGATTTTACTCGTCAATGGGGGAGCTCTGCAGCTTAATGAGTTAATTAAGTATATAAATGAATGCAGAATTTGCGCTGGTCAAATTCCATTGACCGACTAAAATCGTAAAGCGATTGTCAAGGCAGGTTTAAACACAGCTAGGATCCTATATTGAGGAGCTGATTACATGGACATTTTTCAGGTTTTCAGCCCGGCCTAACGATTCTATTAAAACACAGCAAGCGACTACATGACAGAAATATGAGCCCGGGATTCGTTTCAGCCCGGGATTCGTTTCAGCCCGGGATTCGTTTCAGCCCGGTTGAAGCTACCCAGGCTGAAGATTGTCATGTAATCAACGGGACATTTCAACCCGGGTTGAGAAGAGAAAAAAAAACAGCGTTTAAGGGGCCTTTTATATGGTCCCGCTTACCCGCGGGTTTCAGTGAAGTGCGACGTATTTTGAGCAATTGAAATAAGTTGCATTTTATGATTGCAAAATTGCAGAAAAAATCAAAATTGCTTTTTACAAATTGTATGAAATTCCATATGTTTTAGACAAAAACCAAATGTTGTTGAATGCTATTAATCGTCTTCTTCCACTACATAACTTCTAGCGCGTTCCTAATTTCGTTTAAACAATATTTAAAGTTATCTAACTTTTGCCGGTTTAGGGCTGAAACTCTTAGCTCAAAATACATCACACTTCATTGAATCCCGGTAAGCAGGACCATATAAACAGGCCCTAAGTGGCTTTATTTCTTTCTCTTCTACTTTTAAATGCAACCACAGTATCGCACAAGTCAAATAATAGACATGAACAACATTTTAAATTCTTCGAAGAAGCGGAATGGCTCTATTTTGAGACTTGATTGTTTCAGCTCGGGTGAGATTTCACCCCGGGATTGAACTGAAATTCTAACTCATCCCAGGCTGAAATTTACCATATGTGAAAGCATTAAGAACAGCTAACCAAGATCGCACGACTTTCAACTCTCGTGCACTCTTGATCCGGCTCAACGCTTGAAAACCTTTTGTTTGACCCAAAAAATATAATTTAAGAAGGCAGATCGGTTAGATCGATTAGAAGTTAATCCCCAAAGATCATTTATTTCTTGTTATAATTCATGTTTATTCACGACGGATTAGCGATGACATTAAGAACGGATTTCTTAATCATTTCATTTCCGCAAGTGTGTTTCAATATGTACAAAATATATTAGTTAGCGACATTCGACAAGTCAAAATTTGTTAAGCTCTATTTAATTCAAAGTTTAATTAGTGTCTGAAATTAAACTTAACTAACTTTATTTATACTGGATACTTTTATCCTAAACTGTTCTCCCTAGAAGTCCATGAGTAATCCAGTGTTACTACAGGAGGAAACCCAAACTAAACTAGCTTTATTTATACTGGATAGCTCTATCAGTTCTAAACTGTTCCCCCTATAGAGGTCCAGTAAGGATCATCTCATATTGATCCAGTGTTACTATAGGAGGAAACCTAAACTAAACTAACTTTATTTATACTGGAACTCTAGGTATGGGCTTAAAAATTCGCCCAGCTTGTCAACAAGATGTGTTCGACTGCATGCTTGTTCCCAGTTACTGACGACAAGGTTCATGAGGCTAACAGACTCGCAACAAGTTGTTCCAACAAGGCTGATATCGTCTGCACGTAACAAATTGATGACACCATATACGAAAAGCCTTTATCATGATCAGTCTTGTTGGAACAACTTGTTGCAAGTCCGTTACCATCGTCAACCTGGTAAGAAGGCGATAACAACTTGTTCCAGACTTGTTACAACATTAACTATATAGTGGAAACAATACCTCTAGGGTGAACAGTTTAGAACTGATAGAACTATCCAGTGTAAATAAAGTTAGTTTAGTTCAGGTTTCCTCACGTATAAACACTGGATCAATAAGAGATGATCTTACTGTACCTCTAGGGAAAACAATTTAGAACTGATAGAACTATCCAGGATAAATAAAGTTAGCTTAGTTCAGGTTTCCTCTCGTACTATAACATTGGACCAATAAGCGATGACTCTTACTGGACCTCTACGAAGCAGATATATAGAGCTCTTCAATATAATTGATATTTGGTCTCACCTGTCTTTCCAACGGCAGGCGAGCCAAGTATGACGGTAAAATGACTTTCAATATCATCCTGTTGTACAAGTCCCTGAATCCTGCTCGACGTGAGACGACCAATTTGAAACGAGTTCTTTCTCCTTCTCTCCGGACCCAATGGTAGAGTCATACTGCACGCTGAACTTCTGCGATCCCGCCTAAATAGATTCCTTGTTGTATCCTCGTGAGCCTCTTTCGTTGGACTTTGTTCTGCATTGTTTTGTTTAATATAGGTTTCATTATGTTTATCAATTGAGTAAAGATTACCTTTGCTGAAATCGTTTTGGTTGAATGAAAAACTCCGTCCAGGCGGTAAAGCAATACCTCTTCTTCTTCCTTTATTCATTTGGTACAACTTTATATCAATTCCTTGCAGTTACAGATTTGCCTTATATGTAAACTGTTTCAATTCCTTGCATCGTATCAAGCTATCGTGCTCACTTGTTTGTGATGCAGTAAATAGCATAGTTTCAATTCTTTCACAGATCATCAGCAGTCATCAAGTTTGCGTAAACACTTAGCAAGGAATTAATTATACATTCATTTACATTGTCGATGACTTTACATTGTCGTGCTACAGAGATTTGTTTGCACGACTTAAGAGATTTTTAGTAAACTAATCTACTTTTTCTAGGAAGATGACATATTTTCAATGGATGCAAAATCGCCAAAGCTGTGGCAGTGACTTGAGTGGGAAAAGAGCTAAAGGTACTGTTTAATAGGCAATTCCCATTATAGACTAATTTTAAAACTAGGCAAGGAGATGCAATAAATCACCACAGCTAGAAAGAGCATACTAAAATGAGTAAAATTGCAATGTTTGGTTGCGAAATGTTGTAAAATGCGGAAATTATAGCCTTGCAAAGTTTGCAAATTTTGTTGTACTTTTGTATTGCGCGCGGAAATTGCTACCACATTTGGCCCGAAAATGGTAGCAATTTCCGCACGCAATACAAAAGTATACAAAATTTGCAAGGCTATATATTCCGCATTTTACAACATTTTGCAACCAAACTTTGCAATTTTACTCATTTTAGTATGCTCTTTCCGGGAATATACTTTTTTGCCAAGATGAAAAAATTAGTCTATAATGGGAATTGTCTATTAAGCTAGTTGATTTTTTGCAAGTACACAGGACCCCACAAAAAAAACATGCAATAGCAATTGAAATTTCACGTAATAGAAATGTCCATCTACAAATGGAGAATTATACATGAAGTTGTGGTTAGAGCTCAACAGCTGGCCTCTGTAGCTCAGTTGGTTAGAGCTCAACAGCTGGCCTCTGTAGCTCAGTTGGTTAGAGCTCTGTGCACCCCGGAATCACAGGGTCGCAGGTTCGATTCCTACCAGAGGGTTAGGTCTGATGAATGTAGAAAATCAGTGGCGGAAATCTCGGTGGGGCGGGGGGGGGGCG